TAAATTACCACAAGTACAAAGCAAAGAAATGTAGTTTGCATCTATCCAGAAGTGCTACACAGGATGTAAATATTTATTTAAATGTGTACAGAGACACGGACTATAAATTTGATAAAATAATTAAATATGGAAGCTATATACAGATTATACAAGAAAGTTAGGATATGGATTATATATACAGTACAGATCAAAAGTTTGGACGCACCTTCTCATTCAAACAGCTTTCTTTATTTTCATGACTATGAAAGTTGAAGATTTACACTGAAGGCATTAAAACTATGAATTAAATCATGTGGAATTATATGCTTAACTGAAAAGTGTCAAACAGCTGAAATATGTCTGATATTCTAGGTCCTTCACAAAGTAGCCTCATTTTGCTTTTATTACTGCTTCTCACACTCTTGGCGTTCTCTTGATGATCTTCCAGCGGTCGTCACCTGAAATGGTTTTCTAACCGTCTTGAAGGAGTTCCCAGAGATGCTTAGCCCTTGTTGGTCCTTTTGCGTTCACTCTGCGGTCCAGCTCACTTCAGACCATGTGGATTGGGTTCAGGTCTGGTTATTGTGGAGTCCAGGTCATCTGGCGCAGCATCATCACTCTCCTTCTTGGTCAAATAGCCCTTAAGGCTGATTTATACGTCGGAACTAGGTCGTCTGCGTGTGTGTCGCCGTGAACACAGAGACGTCCCCGCCCCCTCCACAGACACTCTACTGCACCTCTCCAAAAGTAGGTGACCGCAGACATGAGCCCTCTGATTGGTCAAATCTACATCTGCTCTACACTATGCATGTCCTGTTTGGTTCCTTACCGGCTTGTTTTGTTTGTGTGACCGCCATTGTGGAAAACAACAAGTGAAGATGGAGCAGCTAGAAGAGAATGCTGGGACCTTTTTTCCACCTGGATCCCCGCTCTTTTTCACCCTCATGTCCCTCCATTGTCACACAAACTTGCCCCCACTTCATCACCGCCCCGGCCGTATCTAGACCCACAGCTGGTTCCTGATTGTCCCTCTTGCGTTGTTGCGTGGAATAACATAGAGCAGAACACGCTTCAATATTGGGCATAAATCAAAAATGTCTGCATCATACCTGCGACAAGCTCACAGCGACACACTGCTGCTTGAGGATAACCAGCCCTTTACACAGCCTGGAGGTGTGTTTGGGGTCATTGTCCTGTTGAAAAATAAATGATGGTCCAACTAAATGCAAACCGGATGGATCAGCATGCAGCTGCAAGATGCTGTAGTAGCCATGCTGGTTCAGTATGCCTTCAGTTTTAAATAAATCCCCAACAGTATCACCAGCAAAGCCCCCCACATCATCACACCTCCTCCTCCATGCTTCACGGGGGGAACCAGCATGTAGAGTCCATTGTTTCACCTTTTCTGCGTCGCACAAAGACACAAAGGTTGGAACCAAAGATCTCCAATCTGGACTCATCAGACCAAAGCTCAGATTTCCACTGTTCTAATGTCTATTCATTGTGTTCTTTAGCCCAAGCAAGTCTCCCCCGATTGGTGCCTGTCCTTAGCAGCTGTTTCCTAGCAGCTATTCTGCCATAAAGGCCTGATTCACACAGCCTCCTCTTAACAGTTCTTCTAGAGATGCGTCTGCTGCTAGAACTCTGTGGCGTTGACCTGCTCTCTAATCTGAGGTGCTGTTAACCTGTGATTTCTGAGGCTGGTGACTCTGATGAACTTATCCTCCACAGCAGATGCGACTCTTGGTCTTCCTTTCCTGGGGCGGTCCTCATGTCAGCCAGTTTCTTTGTAGCACTTGGTGGTTTTTGCGACTGCTATTGGGGACACTTTCAAAGTTTTGCCAATTTTTTTGACTGACTGACCTTCATTTCTTAAAGTAATGATGGCTGCTGGTTTTTCTTCACTTAGCTGCTTTTTTCTTGCCATAATACAAATTCTAACAGTGTATTCAGTAGGACTATCAGCTGTGTTTCCACCTGACTTCTGCACAACAGAACCGACTGTCCCAACCCCATTTATAAGGCAAGAAATCCCACTTATTAAACCTGACAGGGGACACCTGTGAAGTGAAAACCATTTCAGGTGACGACCTCAGGAAGCTCATCAAGAGAAAGCCAAGAGTGTGTGAAGCAGTGATCAAAGCAAAAGGAGGCTACTTTCTGAAGGACCTAAAATATAAGACATATTTTCAGCTGTTTCACATTTTTCAGATAAGCATATAATTCCACATGGGGAATTATTATTAGTGGGGTTAAAGGATAAATGACAGATAATAGCAGATAAAAGATTTGCTGATTATATACAGCTAGAGTTGAGAAGTACGTGTAAGTGATGGAGGAGATCATTTCTGCTCCCCATCAGTTTCCCTCACCATCAGCCTGGGTCAGAGCCTCCATCACTTTGACCGGCAGCGACGAGCCAAACGTCTGCACGTCGTAGAAAACCGTCTCTGCTGCTGCGGCGTTCTGGACTCGAGAAGGCGTCGACCTGGAGAGGAGAGATCAGACTCTATGTTAGCTGACCTCAGACCTGGATGGATGGATGGAGGCTCAGCCTTCATCATGGTGGAGGAGTCAGACAACCCAGAGATGGATGAGCTCTGATGACTCAACAATGGTCTTATATTAGACCTCAAACCTTTTGCCATGATTTTACTGCAGAACACATGATCTTCTGATATTAAATATGTTGAGAGAGCAGCAGGTGTAGGGCTGTGAAACTATCCAGGTGTTTAGTCTTCAAAAGAGAGGCCTGATGTGTCAGATGTTTAGACACAGGAGGACCTGCTCCCCATTGGAGGTTCTTTGGATCAAATGACTTAGATCGAAAGCATGGTGGAGGAAGCATGGTGATCTGGGAATGATTTCCTAAATGTCAGAGGAGCAAAGGGAGTAAACATTATCCAGCTGAACCCTGGTTTAGCTGGTATGGACTGATTGAATTTAACCTACAGCTGCTTGATGATCCTAAACACCATCAGTCAGAATGAATTATGATAAATTAGCAGACAGCTGGACAGAGTGTTTCCATGGCAACCATAGTGTGGGTAACAGAAGCTGTAGATGATCCACGGTGATTATCCTCCATCCATCCACTCACCTCGTAGACACTGGAGTCCTGCGGGGGGAGAAGAGCAGCCCTGCCGCCCCGGAGACGCTCTTCCTCCCCGGGGTTCTGCTCTGCTGCCTGCGGCCGGAGCCCGCCGGGGTGCTGCGGGGGCTGAACATGTCTGCCTTCTGGAGCTTCAGCACTTCCAAATAAAACTAATAAAACCCTGAATGTCTACAGGCCCACACAGAAAACAGCCGCTCCAACTGTCTCCAAACACCGCGCGGCTCAGTCGCGCCGATTCAACGTCACCGTATAGAAACCACGTGACCAGAACAGAGAGGCAGTTGATGCCGGAGCGCCCTCTGGTGGCGGTGGAAGGACGCAGCTCCCTAAACGCCTCCCTTTAAAAAAACATAACTTCTTATTTCAGGTTTCAAAAAGAGAAACTAGTTTGTTATTTATTTCACGACGAGCAATTTAACAATAATAAAACCAAACACATCGAAATGTTTATAACTATAACATCGAAAACACAAATATTGATGCAATATAAGTAGTCATCAGTCTCACACCAACAATGGGATAAAGGATTTATTGATGTCGTGGCAGGTCAGCAAACCTCTGTATTACAATACATGAGAAATCTTTTAGATGGAATTAGTTCCACAAAAAAAAAAAACATTGGAACATAAGAAAAAATTTTTTTTAGGTATAGACTGACCAAGAAATAAAGTAGTATAGAATAGATGTTCCATATAACTGATAAATAAATACAATAAATGACTATGTATTATTAAAATAAATATCATATTTATATATATATATATATATAATGCAGTTTTAACTAGTTTGCCAACCGCCATAAAACCTCACAAGAAGAAGTGTGACCAATTGGATAGGTTTCTGCATTTCCACCCCAGAACAGCAGGTGGCAGTAATGGCCACGCCGGCCGCTCAGTGCCTGTTCAACAGATTAAAAGAAGAAATCCATGATGGCGCGGCAATGAAAGGCAGCGGAGCTCCTTCAGCCACAGTCTGGATTGAACTGCTCAGTTTCACTTAGATGATCTGAAGGCAGCGAGAGCGACACAACATGCAGTGAGTATCTGTTTGCTGCTGGCAGTGATACCCAGTTTGATGTTTCCTCCTGACTCCTGGGACCGTTAGGCCCCGATGCTAGCTCTATTAGCCCCTTCCTGCTATCCAGCCACAGCCGGTGAACCTGAGAGGCTTTACAGTAATTTACTGCAAGAATAAATACGCTGTAGATGTTTATTTTATGCAGGAGTGCATATCAGAATGCATGATGATGGATTACTAGCATGCTAATTAAGATGCTAACCTTTAAACAGTATACATTCTGGCAAAATAAAGCCCAAGACTGGAGAAAACAACAGTATGAAAGGATGAAATCCTGCGAATATTATTTCTAAATCAAATACCTGACATGAAGATTGCTCAATTAAACTGTAAATAATGTCGCTTTAATTTCGTTTGAATAAGTTTTGAAGTGAGAAAGTCCACCTGAGCCAAGTGATATAGCTCTCTGCATCAGCAGTGCTGTGTCTGTCTCCCTGCCAGCTCCCAGATCAGCTTCTCTGATTGGTTGATGCGGCGGGTCCAGCAGCTAAAAGTTTTCCAACTCCAGCATCTGCTGCTTCTAAAGCGCCTCAGATGTTCAGAAGCTCATGAGCTGTTGCTCCTGCTGCTCAGACGCGCTGCAGGACCTTATGCTGCGCCTTGATGTACACCAACCATTCACTGAGCATGTAAACCAGCTGCTTCTGCTGCTTGTGGTCTGAACGTAGCTCTGGTTTAAGGTGGACCTCATGGTTCTGGATTCAGAGGAGTTAAGGTGGATGAGCCCATAGAGTTTAGGCATTGAAAATCATAAATGAAACTGTAAGATTCATCAGAAAAACCTCAGGGATTCAGTGAAGGATGAGGAAAACAAGAGAACTGAATAGATGCTTCTTGTCTTTGTCGGCAGACGTGCTGCAGTGTTTCTATGTTCCCTAACCTGTTTCCACCTGTTTCTACTCTGTAACTTTAGTTGTATTTTATTTGGACATTTCAGCCCAAAATGTCGTCACATTATTATTTATCAAAGAACAGTCGCAGGCCTTCTGGATGATATTCTAGTTGAACCTTTTTACCGCCCCTGATGATTTTCTGATGGTAAACTTTCCTGTTTTTTTATTTATTTTTTAATCTCCTCCCTGCTTTTATTTTTGTGATTATAAACGTCTCCAGGAGTGATCATGAACTTTCCAAACCACCAAGCCGCCCTGCAGACATGAACTCTTTCCAACCTTAAAACCAGTTTCCTTGTTTTTCTTCAGTATTTTATTTATTTTTTGTTTTGCTCTGTCGGTTCAGGGAATCTGATCTTTGTCTACGGTCTGGTTGTTCAGCCTTTTTTTTGTTGGTTTCTGTGCGGTTCTGATCGGTTTGTTCTGGTCAGGTCATGAAACGGGTTCGGGCTGAGCAGATCCAGAATGCTGTGGCTCAGTACCTGAAGAGGAGGCAGTATGTGGACACTGACGGCTCCCTGAAAGGAGCCAAGCTCTTCCAGTCCACAGAGGAGTTGGCAGCCGGCCTGACAGGTCAGCACCTTTCTATGGCTGCTTTTAAAATCCTCGCTGGAGAAACTGAAGCCTTTTCTACCTCTTCCTCTCTGTGAGCAGTGCAGACGGAGTCCGGCTGTACCAATGTGGTCTCTGCTGCTCCCTGCCAGGCGGACCCCCAGCAGTATGAGATCCAGTTCTCCAGGCTGCGCTCCTTTCTCTCAGGTACCGCCCCTCCCTTCTTTTATTTCTGCATCTTTAGGATCAGAGGTTCTGTTTTTGTCACGAACACTAAAACTCTTTTCTTTGTTCTTGTGAGCAGAAGCAGAAATCTCCTACGCCCAAGAGGTCAGCAGCCTCCTGTATCCCCTCTTCGTTTATCTTCACCTTGACATGGTGCACTGTGGCCTGAAGGGGGCAGTAGATGGTTTTTACGTCCGTTTTCACGACGCTTTTCTTCACGACGTAGAGCAGCGGTTGGTGGTAGAGCAGCTCCGTCACGTTGTGGCTGCGCAGGATGTAGCAGCCAACCCCAAGCTGAGGTCCTTTCTGGAGCACAAGTATGTGGTGCACCTGACGGAGCCAGCGTACAGCTACCTGCTGCGCTACCTGCAGAGCGACGACAACAGCGCCCTGTGCAGGGTCCTCAGCACCCATCTACAGGTGGAGGTCACCGCCTCCAGAAGAACAGAGTACCAGCTGTACGGAGCCGCCGGAGGCTCCATGGCCACGCCCATCTCGGTGTCGTCCTCCTGGCTTGGCGGAGCAGAGGGCGGGGAGGGGGTGGAGGTCCCTGCAGGGATCCCGCAGAATGAGGTGGCGCTGCTGGCGCTGCAGGACTGCATAAAGAAGGTCCGGGAAGGCCCGCCCTCCCTCACCACCATCTGCTTCTACGCCTTCCACCACACGGAGCAGATGCTGAACGCCGCCGAGGTTTCTCCGGACAGCCGGCTGCTGGCCGCCGGCTTCGACAGCTCCGCCGTGAAGCTGTGGAGCCTCCGGGCCAGGAAGCTGAAGGCCAGACCGCACCAGGCCGACGTCTCCTGCATCCACCTGGCCTGCGACGTGAGAGAGGAAGAGGTCAGAGTTTAATCCGTTAAACTTGGGAAATAATTTAAGGATCTAGTTTCTTTTACGCAAACATATGTTAATAGGATTTTATCAGAGGAAAAAAACAAAATGTTGAGTAAAATGACCTGAAAATGTATAATTAAATTAACTCTGACAGCTCTGATGAGGAAAAAGTCCCAAATCTAATCCCGAACAGATTAGCTCCACTGAGGAACAGGTGGTGGTGGTGTAATGCTGTGGGATTAACAGGCTCCTCATCATAGGGAAGAGGGAGGCAGAGGATAACTTGGGATGAAAACATGTGACGTAGGACCTGATAGTTATCTTTGTTTCTCAGTTTTTTTTTGTTTTTTTTTAAAGCTAATGTTTACAGAGGTGCTCAGACTCAGACTGGTTGCTCCGCTGGTTGCCATGGGTCTCTCAACTTCGGAAATTTGTTTTTAAATTACTCACTAAAAAGGTAAATGGACCATATAGTGACGCTTTAAATGATTATATTCTCACCTCAAATTATCTTAAAATGTAGTCAATGGAGCGCTCCATTGAAAGCTGCTGACGCAGTGCATGCTGGGACAACATCCGGGGACTTTTTCCGTTCTCGGTCTGCTGTTATTGTGAACTGGAGCAGTACTAGGGCTGAGAGTGATGATTTTTCATGAGCACACGAGAACGCACAAGTACACAGATTGAGAAACGCCCAGAGGCTCCTGGCCTCTCTGGGTCTAAAGGCTGATTGACTCTTTGAAATCAGGTCATCTGCGTGTGCGTTGTGGTGAACGCAGAGACGTCCCCGCCCCTTCCGCAGACAATCTGCTGCACCTCTCCCAAATTGTAGGTGACTGCAGGACAGGAGGCCTCTGACTGGTCAAATCTACATCTGCTCTACACCATTCGTATTTCCTGTTTGGTACCGTACCGGCTTTCTTTGTATGACGCCATTATGGAAAACGACTGGTGAAGTTGGACCAGGTAGAGCGAGGTGCGCAAGAACGCTGGGACTTTTTTCCACCTGGATCTTTTTCACCATCATGTCCCTCCGTTGTCGCACAATCTTGCCCCCACGTCCTCACCGCCATTATCCCCTTTTGCGTTGTGGCGTGGAATAAATATAGCACAGACCACGCTTCAATATTGAGTATAAATAAAAGATGTCTGCATCAAGCTCAGTGTGACACACTGCTGCAGGAGCCCTTAAGCAGTGGGACGCAGAGTTAAGCCAGCTCTTGTTCAGATGGACTGGTTCCCACTAGGAGCTGCATTAAAGTTGTTTTTGTCTCTCTTTGCTCCAGGGGGACGAGGAGGAAGGCTGCGGCAGTGAGATTAAAATGCTCCGCGGTCACAGTGGCCCCGTGTATCGCACCGCCTTCCTGACTGACAGCTCCGGCCTGCTCTCCTGCTCAGAGGACACCACCATCCGATACTGGGACCTGGGCAGCTTCACCAACACGGCGCTGTACCAGGGCCACGCCTACCCGGTGTGGGACGTGGACGTCAGCCCCTGCAGCCTTTATTTCGCCAGCGGCTCTCATGACCGCACCGCCCGCCTCTGGACGTTCTCCCGCACCTACCCGCTGAGGCTCTACGTGGGGCACCTCTCCGACGTCGACTGCGTCAAGTTCCACCCCAACTCCAACTACCTGGCTACCGGTTCAACGGACAAGACGGTCCGGCTGTGGAGCACCCAGCAGGGGCAGTCGGTCCGGCTCTTCACCGGCCACCGCGGCACCGTGCTGTCGCTCGCCTTCTCACCCAACGGGAAGTACCTGGCCTCCGCTGGAGAGGACCAGCGCGTGAAGCTCTGGGACCTGGCAGCAGGGACTTTGTTTAAAGACCTGCGAGGACACACGGACAGCATCACCAGCCTGTCCTTCAGCCCCGACAGCAGCTTGGTGGTGTCCTCCTCTATAGACAACTCTGTCCGGGTGTGGGATATCCGGAACAGCCACGGCGGGACGCCTGCCGACGGCTCGTCCAGTGAGCTGGTGGGGCTGTACGTGGGAAACACCAGCAACGTCCTTAATGTCCAGTTCATGGCCTGCAACCTGCTGCTGGTCACAGGAACGGCTCTGGAGAAGGCTGAGCAGTAGCTCCACAGTTCTAATGTTCACACGTTAACTTCACCAACAGGTCAAACTGTTCATTCCTTCTTTTGTTTAAGTTCCTCAAATTTTTGTTCATATATGACAGCTATAGTAGAACTGAAATGTTTATTAAACTGTTTCTGGCAGATATGATGTCATGTTTTTTTTATAGTATAACTAAGAAGATTGGTTTTCACTCCAACTTCTCCTTTAGAGCCTCAGGAAACCTGATTGTTTATGTAATCTGTTACTCTATGAAGAAAAATATTTTCAGCTGCTTGTATCCAGTCCCACACAGCTCGCATGTCGGCAAAAAAAAAAATCAGATCTGGGTCACTTCAGGCTGCTGTGTGAACGTCGCAGAAGGAAACACTGTGATTGACTAAACTTTTCTAGAGATTCAAAAGAACAAGCAGACACATTATCTCTGCATTATCTGAGAAAATATTCCTATATTCAACTACGGAAACAAGAAGATATGATCTAAACCTTGATCTAATCTCACTGTCATGGAAATATGGTGGATTAACATAATTTGATGAGCAGACTTTTATACAGCAGTAAGCTTTGCTCATAAACAGCTTTACAATAACTTATAGTGCCTCTATTGACTTGTTATCTTTTACACAGATTACTAAATATGTTCATGTGAATGAAACCAATGTAGATGACCCCCTCCCTCAAGATGAAAGAAGAATGGAAACCTGTATGAATATCTCTAATAATTGGTGTTGGCCTTGTTTTACCTACAATGTGAGGGAAGTATTTTGAAAAATATCCTACATGCGAGGACTTTATGGGGACATTCAACTGGTCCCTATATGGTAAAGTTCTGTTCTTTGAGTTGGGGTTAGGTTTAGGACTAAGGTGTGAATTTTGTTTAGGTTAGGTACATCTTGGTAATATTTAAGGTAAGGGTTAGGGCAAGGGTCTGGGTTAGGCCATATAAAATGAATGCAAGTCAATGAAATGTCCCCATATGTCATGAAAACAAAGCTGTGTGTGGATGATGTGTAATGGAGGTATATGTAAATGTGTTTTGGTAATTTGTTTTTAGGATTTTTTTTACCGTAATATTTTTTTTAATCAAGAATACATTTTTGTATTTATCATAAATATATTTTTTATATGAATACATTTTCCTGTGACAAAGGAAGGGTGGGCAAGCCGGAGCACACAGAGAGAACCCACACAGGCACGGGAGAGTTTGGCAGCTCCATGCAGAACTGTCTCCTTCTACAAGGGAACAGCACTAAGCACTGTACCACGGTGCAGCCCCATTCTGTTTACCAGGATCTAATCAACACCAAGGTAGGAGTCTACCTCAGAAAAAGGCCCTGGTATCCAGGCAGTGCTTTTTTATTTAAAAGGAACCACAGAGTTTTATGGAGGGTGAAGGGCTAAATATTATGGACTGGATTCTGTGAAGGGGTCTGGGAAGTTAAGGGTTATGGAAGAGTTATGAAAGTTAAGGCTAATGGTTATGGGCTAACACTGAGGAAGGGGGCTAATTTAAAGCATTTAGAAGTGAAGTTTTGGAATTAGATAAATATTGTTTTTGTCAGTTTGAAGTTTTGTTTGGCAACAGTTTCTTGAGGTTCACCAGAGGTTTGTTTTCTGACTTCAATCTTTTGAAAAGCTTGATAATTATTTTCCTTACAGATTTATTTTTTGCTTTTCTTTCTTGGGATTTTTCAGTCTCCTGATGCAGATTTTTCAGCTCCTCCATAAGGCTCTCTGTTGACGTTTTCTTCTCCTCCTCCATCTCTGTCAGAGCCGCGTTTGCAACTGTCTCTTGAAGGCAGGCCTTCTCTGTTTGCCACTGCTGCCTTTCACCATGCAGATCCTTCTGAAGGTCTTTCATTGCTGCATCCAGATATCTAATAGCGTTCTGCTGCTGAACACTCCTGAGCAGCGTATCCCTGCTCAGGAGACGGGACTTTTCGTGGGCCCAGAGCCGTGTTTGCTGCTTCATATCTTGCTCCATCTTCAGCAAAGCAGCCTTTAAGTCACTGGTTTCCTGCTCTTTCTCAGCTAAGCAGATCTCAGCCTCCATGGTTCTGGCTTTCTCAGCAAGCAGACTCATTTCCAGTTCCATGACTTTTCCTGCAGCATCATGAGTTAGCTGGCCGTTTTCCTGCTCTTTCAGATGCAGAGAGGCTTTCTCCTGTTCTAACTCATCTTTCTGTAACTCCACCTGCTTTTCCAGCTGCTCCACCTCATCTCTTTGTTGTTGGTTTGCCATAAGATGGGATTTTTCTTCCTGCCACTGCTGCCGCTGTTCCTCCAAAACTTTCTCCATTTTGACCAAAGCAGCCTTTAGTTCACTGGTTTCCTGAACTTGTTGGACCTCCTTTGCTTTTCCTGACTCGACAAGAACAGCTGCCTCTGTTTTCTGAGGCAAAACAGAGAGACTCTTAATTTGTTCTAATAATATAGTTTTATTTCTTGTTGAACAGCTGCCCTCCCCTCTTCAGTGAACTTTAAGCAGAGCTCAGCTTCCTGTACTGCTTTCCTCTGCAAGTTTTCGGATAGTTTTTTTTTATTTTTCTTGTTGAAGTGCTGCGATCTGCTTACATTTTGAGCTTATGCAGATCACAGCTTCCTAAAAACGGCAGGTAAGTCTGCCTCTTATTTATGGCATCTCAATCCACATTTTGGGGGTAGTAACTAAAAACACTTGCTCTCCTTACAACATTCTGGCTTTGTGAAAAACCAACATTAACAGATGGATTGAGCTGAGGGAACAGACATCTAAATAAGGTTTGACAGATAATGAGCGGTAAGGCCATGAAACACTTAAAAAGATAATAAAACTTTTAAATCAACACGCAAAAAATTCCAAACCAATGAACAGAGGCTGAAACAGGAGTAATATGTTCATGTTTTCTTTCTAAAGTTGATTCTTGGCTCAGTCCAACATACTCGGTTGGATTACGATAATCCAACCGAGTCATAATAGAAGCATAATTTAAAATCTTGAAATGATGCTGTGAAATAAATGGTTTAGCTTTGGCCAGTTGCCTCAGATGATTATAAACTGAACTTGATTACAAATTTTCAGTGCATAATGTTTAAAATCACTGTCCAGTCTCAGACCCAGGTTTGTTACTGCTGTGCAGAAGAAATAAATAGTTGTGCCATATGCCAT